CGTTCATTGTTGCGCCGATGGCAGGTGGCAACCCTAGCTCTAACGCCGTCTGCTGGGCGCGGCCGATGTGCGCCTGGGACTGCCCGCGCCGACTCGCTACGGCCAGCCGGAGAGCATCGCGGATCGCACGCGGCTCGGCTCGCGCTTCGGCTCGCCTCGGCCGGCAGCTCGGCTCGTGTGGCGTCGGCTTGCGTCGCGACGCCGGTGGTGTTGGCGCGGCGTCGGCGCAGCCAGCCAGCAGCCGCCTCGCATATATTGGCATGCAAGCGCATTCCCGGATCCAGGCGAAGCGCAACGCCGGACTGCAACTACTGCAACACCACGAGCACCACGCACCAACGCACTGCTGGAAGTTTAAATTTTTGGCGCGCGTGGGCCCCTCATGCTGGCTATTGTTGGCCGTACCATTATTGGGCCCGAGTCACCGCGGCTGCCGGCCGGGCCGGGAAGGACCGCCGCGGTTGGTGTCCGGGACACTGTCCCCCCCGCCAGCGCCTCCTCGCCGCGGTCCTGGTCCACTTCCCCCCGCCGGTCCACGTCACGCAGGGGGGTCGGCGATGACGGGGGGCAGGGAGATCGACTTCGACGCCGGCGGCCGGAACACCGTCCCCTGGAGCGGTCGGTCCGCGGCGTACATCTGGCGCGACCCCAGCGGGCTGCTGCGCGCCTTCCCCCGAATCGAAGGTGCCGCAAGCAATTTTTCATACCATAGAAAAGGGAACATAACGAAAAAACATCCATATTAAAAGTGTTCAAAATACATCTCGTCCCTCTTAAAGGACGTTCAGAATGTAAACAGAATTAACGACAAGCAGTACGTACCATGTTTCTTAAATATCGTAAACCTACGGGTTACGTTTCGGCATAGGGACTTGACTGCTGTATGTCCAGTTTCATGCTGGTATGGTTGCACATCTTAGAACGGAATCATACCTACTAAGGTGTAAAACGTAAAACTGCCATCAACTCTTTTTTTCTGGGCGAATAGGGGGGCGGGTTAAACTTTTTTTTTCCGCTCACCCTTTAACGGGAAGTGACGGCCGCCTGCTACCTGCTGCTGTGCGTGAAGTGCGTGTCCGCGGTTAGCACGGGGGTGATAGGCCGGCTGCACTTGTCACGCACGTGCCCCGTACCGTCATGCACTGCTCAAAATAAAGGGGCACTTTCCCCCCCAAAAATCCGAAAAGAAATTAGAAAAAAAAGAAGAAAATTCTCAAAAAAACCTACCAATTAAAAACAAGATTACACTCAGGGATCCGTTTAGCCTAGGCGACCAAATTCAGAACCGACAAAATTTTTGCTCTGTGGACTAGATTTTAGGCATACTGATAAAAACATTTAAGTCAAATTACTGTACCTTAGTTTTGATAGACGTGACCAAATTTGGTTAAAAATAAATGTAATAAATCATCGTAGCTGGTTAAAGAAACGAAATTTTGCTTCCTGTGACCCTGATTTGGTGGAATCAACTATATGGTTCTCTAAGTGTATTTTTAAAATGGAAAAATGGGAAAAATTCAAGCAAAATAAAGTAAAATCAGAAAAATGGATGAGCGCCTGAGTTTACGGTAAAGAGCCATAGGCTTAAAATACAAGCAAAATTAATGACACTCTGAAATTGGGCAGACGGGTTGTGCCGTCCTTTTGAGCGGGTGTTGAACCGGCGACCGCCATCTAATCCATCATGCACGGGCTGCACTGATGAGCTTTTAAAATCGAGTTGCACGCCCGCTATACTCGTGCACACGTGCGAGCGGCGTATGCACCGCCTGTCCGTCTGCGTCCGCGTTTGTCTAGACTAATGGCGAGGCGACGGGACAGGGGGGCCGGGGACAGGACCGGGTCAGGCGGCGGTGGTTTGGCTTGGCGCTGCGCAGGACAGGACGAAGCCCTGAGGACATTCCAGGACAGATTAAGGACGCTTTAGACTCCTGCCACGCCTCCTGCAGGACTCGCGACGCGACGTGGACCTGGCGTGGCCTGCGTTCGTGAAATTCCCCGAAGCGGTCTCCTCCTGCCCGGCGCGCGGGCCGGTTCAAATAACGCAACAAACAGCCACTATAAGAGATTAGCTTCTGGAGGAGGAAAAAACAAAATCGTACAAACAAAAAGGTCGCGTTACGTTAAGACGGGTTAGAGATAGAGAAAGCAGGCTGTGCTACCTGTGCAACCAGCCTGCTAGAACGACGCAATCAGAAAGGGTCGCATAGCGCCGCGGCGCGGCGGTCCCGCGGCCCTGCTGCGCTGTGCCGGCGAACTCAAGCCATTCCGGACCGGAACGGCCGGCGGCTGCTGCGTGTCATTTGGCCGACAACAGGTCAGGTTAGGGCGACCTTTATCTCCCGTCCGCTACAACAACAACAGCGCCCCGCGCCGATTGAATTTCACCTGCTGCAGTCGCAGCAGCCCTTTGAGGTCTCTGCGGCTGGTCCGCGGGCGGGCGACCACGCGACGACATAGTTGCGGGAGGTGGAACACAGCAGGACGACGGCGAACAGCGGGGCGGCTTTTCACACATTGACATGTAGAGGAGGGTGAGCGGGGGGAGGCCAGGCCGCGGTCTTAACCTCTCTCCGGCTCATTGTTTGTGTTCCTCGCCGCCGGAAATACCTGGGGGCCGCGAGCACACCATGAGCTCGCCGACGACGACGCACTTGCTCGATGACGTGACTCTAACCCCCCCGCCGCGCCCGGCCCTGCCCCGGTTACGCCGCGCCTGACCGCGTTTTCTTTATCCTAACGTATTGTGTGTGCCCGGGCCTGCCGGGCCGCTGCTGCCGCCGCGCTGCCCTTCGGATGCCCGGCATGCCGAGATGAATTACTCCGATGAACGTCCGCGCCGCTTCCTAATGGCGTCTCCCATCACACCTTCTCGGGGCGGCGGCGGCTCAGCTGCAGCAGCCGGCCATCCCTGCTGAGGCCAACAACCTATGTACACGCATCAGAGAACCACAAAAACCGCGTGGTTTTCAAACTGCTGCGCGCGGGATATTTTTGGTCGCACGGTTATTTGCCGCTAAAGGGCTCCTTTATGTCAAAATAAGCCACTTCTCGTGAGCAGGGGCGCACCCTTCTCCCACCTGCAAAAGCACACTTGACATGCACGCGGACGTAACTTTGTCATCTCCTTCCATCTTGTTGGTATTCTTGTATAATGTTTTCCGCAGCGGCCGTCCGTTGGCGGCCGGAGCGACTCGCGGACGGCATGGCTCCGCTTCCTAAACGGCAGCATGTGAGTATTTACCCCGCTTATGGTTCCGCCATATTACCCCTCCCCCTTCCGGACTTCTCTCTGCTTTAATGATTGCGAAAGTGCTTTCTGCTGCTGCTGCTGCGGCTGTCGCTTTGTCAACACAGCAGCCATATATCCCCTACTACTCCTCGCGTAGCCAGAAAATGACTTGTCGAAACGATCTCGATTCGATGTCATTTCTAATACAAGGGCCTCAATCTCAACGTGGCAGTCGCGGAGCGTGCTTGTGCTGGCCGTTTCTCCGGCTGGCCGCGTTGAATTGTTTGAATTAATTAAGTCCTTTGGACCGTATGCCTAGTAGTAGGGGCGAGGGGGGACAGCTTGAAAATGACTAAATTGAGGGGACCTGACGCGAGTATTGAAATTAATGGTTCCTTCTTCTGAGAGTCCGCGTCGCTTCCAACTTGTGACTCAACACAAACCGAAGACGTGCTGTGTTGGTAGCCGGACAAAGGCGCGGGCACGAAGACCTTGCCTCTCTAGAGCAAAACAAACTGAAAAGAATAAAGTCGCTTGGAAAAGTCCTCGGATGCTGTAGGGCAGGGGTCTCAGACTGTGACGTCACGCGGGCCGCACGAGTCGGACCTCTCACTCGCACTCACTGCGCTCACAAAGCTCCATCTCTCTCCAGTGCGGCCCTTGCGGCCCGCGGGCCGCGTGTCTGAGACCCCTGCTGTAGGGGACAGGTTCGATGTATCAAAGACACGGGGGTAAAGTCTCGTGCACACTCGAAAAGTTACAAACAGTATCCCAACGGAAACAGGCTAAAAATACCCCAACCCTTTAACTACGACGAACCTCCCGCACAAGTTGACCTTTTCGGCACCAAAAGTCAACACAGCGTAATGGGCCTGATGTTGATGTTGACCGACACGTGTTGCAGGTCTTGCCCCCTGCTCCGCCTGAGCCGCCCTGAGAGAGCGAGACAGAGAGGTTAGCCGGCGTATCGTCCAGATTGCGCACATCACCATCATGTACACGGTGGCCACCGCCAGATATCTCTCCTCCACCTTCTCTATCCCACGGCCGAAGGCCCGTCCGGTGTGGTATTTGTATAGGCAGTTCGTCGAAAGTTAGTCTCAGTCTCTCTCTCTCCCTCTCTCGCTCTCTCTCTCTCTCTCTCTCTCTCTCTCTCTCTCTCTCTCACCGCCACTGCCACCAGCACGGTGAGTGGACGCCGTAGCGCACTATGGAGGTTATGTGATTACGTCCGTGTGTGTGAACAGCGCAGGCCACCTGTTCCTCCAAGGGTTCACTGCCACCAAAGATAAAGCAGTTTGCTCTGCTCCACAGTGGGGAGAAATAAGAATAACAACAACACCATCTCAATATTATAAACGGTACAGCAGCTCTGCTTTTTTTTTCACGGTGTATATCTGAACGCGCCGTTGATCGTCACCCCCGCTTGTTGTACGCTGCCCAATATCGAGTGCAGGGCAAACGGCGTTACGTCAGCGCCACCAGCGTCTGCGGAATGTGCGCGGTCCTTAGGGGCAACTGCATGATATTTGTACCCCGGGGTACGTGGGGCTCATCATATTCTCCTACAGCATACAATGACCGTCCTGC